CCGCGAGGAGATAAGATACCTCGGCCAGGCAGGCAGCTTTCTACCAGGGCCGCCAGAGCGAAATTGAAAATAATACTGAAGATAGTATCGAATATTGAACTGCATGCGAGGCGTTCGCTGCTTTTATAGCTGTAATCTGCTGACTAATCACTAATAACTAGTCAGTTCTGGCCCACGATGATGAAGGTGACTGAGAATGATGAAGACGAGGTCGAGGACGAGGCTGACGAGCTGCGAGAAGAGACAGCGCCGTAGAAGAGTGTATATAAATGTAGGCACAAGGCAGTAGTTCTCCGTATCTGCGTCCGCTTTGCCCTGGCAGGCCGCTCTAAGGAGGCCGAAACACTGCGGCCAAGCCTGAACTAGTTATTTTACTAGTTAGTTAACTCGTTAAGTTAGGCAGTTGACAAAGCCGACCTCGACTTGGTGATAGCTTCACGCAGATAACTAGCCAGGAAGATAGAACGGCTTCTGGCCTCAGCGCTAATGTGACTTCTGCCCTTCCGATACTCGACCTTCTCTACTGCGTCTTTTAAGAAACCGACAACCTGGAGGCGACGTCAGCTCGGATGGCGGCCAGGGACCGCTTCAGCGCCTACCTGGAGCCACCCGCACAGTCGACGCTGCAGCGGTATATCCGTACGTTCTCTGCCTCGCGCCGGTGCGCCCGGATGTCTTTGCTGCTTCCTGGCCAAGAGTGAAGATGGCTGCTGACCGAGTGACTTGGATCAGATAATGCGTGCGATCCCCAGAACTACGAACCGAACCTGGCCCTCAACCTGGAGGTGGTGGATTTGATCAATACAAAGAGGGGAAACGCGTGAGTGCAGCAGTCCAGCCGTTTGCGCTGGATTTACTTCTCTAATTTCAATGGGATGAAGTCCTAATAAGATGCCAATGGTAAAGGCCTCGCGAAGCAGCAATGACCATAGTCCAGTTGATAAACTCCCGGAATGCGAATGTTGCGATGCTAGCCCTCGCTGTATGCTCCTACCGTTGCCCCCATTTTTCACCTCTAGTATCTCAGGAGATATACGACGCTGACTGCTTGACCGCTCCGCTGTTCTTTATACTGCCCAGTTACTCGACATATGTGTCAAAAACTGCGGATACCCGTTTCATCTCCAGATCAGCACAAAGGAGTTCCTGAACGAACTAGTTCGAAGATTTCCCGAACGACCGCCTATTCGACCATCGAGAGCGCAACAGAGGATCCTCGAATCGATTGAAGAATGGAGACAGACGATATGTCAGACCTCAAGATACAAGGATGACCTCGGATTCATCCGTGACATGCACCGTCTTCTCCTCTACAAGGGTTATATGTTTCCTGAAATCCGTCGTGAAGATGCTGCCGTTCTGAACCCAAGCGATGTATGTTGGCCCGCCTTCAGTTGCTACGTACCTTTAGCTCAACAGTCTATGCTGGTACTAATGATGCACACCATATAGAATCTCCAATCTGCCGAGGAAATGGAGGAAGAAGAGAAGATCGCTCAGTCCGCAAAACTGCAAGAGCTAATACGAAGAGGAAACCCGGATGACCTTCGAGAAGCCAACAGACTGATGAAAATAATGGCAGGCTATGATACTCGGCATCGGACGGACTATCGAGCAAAGGCTGCAGAAGAGGTCTCGAGGGTTCAGGAGAAGGCTAAACTTCTTGAAGAGATGCTGGAGAATTTTAAGCCCGGAGACAAGTTATCAGAAGGAGACGTTTATGAGGTGCGTGTTGGCTGTCATCAGAAAGAGAATTGCGACAGATGCTTACCTGACTTACACAGGAACTGGCCAGCGCTCTTCAAAATGCACATCCTAAAATACAAAAGATGTGCGAGGATGAGTCTGAAGACAACGAGGCTGTATCGAAACTATTAGAAATAAACGATAGTATACACCGAACGGTGCAAAGATATAAGCTGATTAAGGCCGGAGATGTAACTGCGGCATCCAACATACCTAAGGGTACTCTGGGGACGAGTACGGGCGTTAAAAAGAATGCTGCCAACGAACTATCTTTGATTGATTTTGGAGGCGAGGAAGAGCAGGTATCTGCTGCTTCCAACGGTAGTACAGCTATTAAGCCGCCTGCTGCTTCCACGCTTGAGGGTGACTTACTGGGCCTTTCCTTCCAAGACGAACCTCAGGGCCAGGGAAGTGTTGCACTCCCTCTAGGACCAGCTGAAGGTGAGTGATAACTTCCATATTTCCGTCCACTCTCACAGCACTGCTGCTTACCACTGAAGAAGGCTCTTCATCGGCTTCCCTTCCGAAGTCGCCATCAATACCTTCTACTTCAACGCCTACGCCTAGACCATCTGACCCATTTGCTGCTATTACGTCGGGAGGGTCAAGGACATCGTCACCGTTTAATAAACTACAGAGCTCAGCTTCTTCAAACGCCGCATCTTCGTCATTACTAGATTTAGGCCAGCTAGCATCTGGGCCACCAGTCCCAACCCTACATGCACCACATTCGCCCCAACAACCCAGCCAGTCCAAACAAGTGACGCCAGCCCAGACATCTGACGCAGATGACGAATGGACCTTCTCATCTGCTCTTCCAGAGGAAACTCTACCCTCACAGAACACCATCGAAGTTCTCAACGCCACCATAGGAATAAAAATGCAGGTGAAACGCTTTCCTGGTGAGAACAAAATACATGGCCTTGTGTCATTCTCTAACAATACCCCTCACGCCATTTCAGAACTCCATTTCCAAATCGCCATTGAAAAGGTACAAGAAGCCCTCTCCCTGTTTCCGTTTTCTTGCTTGACATTAATTCTATTTGCCGTTTCTCAACAACCCATGGGCCTAAGAGGTATTTGGATGACTATCAGCTAACGACATGTTTCCTCTCTTTTACACATTTGCAGGCCTATTCCCTTCAGCTCCGGCCTCAGTCCGGCAGAGATATTGCGCCATATCAGAAGATTGGAGTTCAGCAGCAGCTCCAGATGGACGGAGTCCAGCCAGGCAAGGGAAACACGGTCAGGCTTCGGTATAAAGTGTCCTACAAGGTTGGACAGGAATTAAATGAGAGTGATGGATTGGTGCCATCGTTAGGTATCTCGTAGAAAAAATCGGGCTAGGGAGGCGGGCTACTTTTCTGCAGAATATATACCGCCTTGTTATTGACCTTGCATTACAGCCGTTATCTTCACCATTTGTATATATCGGGTCCACGGAAAAATGCCAAGGGTATTTTACTAGGGCCATATAGTTGCACAGCTACGCTTTTAACGCTTTTAACGTAATTCCTGTCTTTTTTGCCCGGCTACTTTTCTCGGGTGAGAGTGTTTTGAGAATATCTATGACGCTCCCTGGACGCATATTTGTCGATATATGGCCATACGTCTTAACTCTGGATAGTGGTTGACAGGAACCAGTCTTTTAATTTGTTGGGGGTAAACACACTGCACTGCCCCCTTTCCTTGCACTTGTATACTGGCAACTTAGAGAAAGAAAATCTAGCGGTAGTTACCCAATCTGAACCCACCTGATTGATACAAGCACGAGCGAAGCTCGATGTGTGTATGTAGCCTGTAACACGGGGGGCGTTTCAAGAGGCGCGGCCAGTCTCCACTTAGTTAAAATAGTTAACTAACTTAGTTACGCGCGCTCGTGGCTCGCGGACTAGCCGACACTAGTAATTTAGCCGCCCGTTACCGCAATAGAGTTCAGACCGAGACAACGTCATGCGCTCCTTCTGCGCTCCTTCCTATAACGATACCACAGCATCTATGATGCACATAGAGCTTGCTCTAAATATACCAACACAGTACCGTGGATCAAATGCCCGGATACTTGGCTAATACCACGCTACGGCTACAGTACAGCGCTTGCAGCCCCCCCGGCCGCTGAGATCTGGTAATTCTCACCAGAAACGGTGGTATTGGCAACTCAGTGCAAGATGACACCTTGGTTCATAATCCTCCCTAAACCACGCAAAACAAACATCGTGGTAGAGCCCTGGTATATCACATACTTTTGGCCATGTTGCAGGCTCTGTGGTGAAATTCCTGACGCAAAAGGGTCTACGCCCAACGTCATGGCGATAACCCGCTTCTTCGCTTCTGGGGATACATTGTTATCCAGTCACCCAGGTGCGGTGGAATGGGATACGCAGTCGGCCTCATGTGCTATTGTAGACTACCCGTGCTTGGATTCGTGTGTCCCCGTCACCTTCAAGCCCCAAGTAATTTCACATGGATCGTGAACATGCTAGGTAGACGCTTTAAGGGAGGCTGCGATGCGGTGGCCAGGCTATTATAGGGGAAGAAACCACGATATATTTTATCTCTTCCTCGCGATGGAAATTTACTCATGATATCCTTCTCTTCAACGACTCTGGCCGAGGAGGTTTTCTTCTCTGCAGAGCGAGAGACTCCATGTCTCTCACCTGCCGATACCATGGCTACGCTCTTTCCCTCCCGTACTGCCCGGAAACATCGGCACGCATTTTCGTAAGGGCGTGGTATGACGACAACATCTTAGGATTCACGGCTAGTGATAGTTCAACAGCCCCAACACTTCATCGCCTCGAAGCTTCTCGTGGTTTTGGGTAGAGGCTGTGGCGTCTTATCTAGCCACGCCCATATGGCATACTGAGGTGAGTCACTCTATACAGTGATTTGCCCCGTGATGTCATGGCTATTACGCCTATAAAAGGAAGGAATTCCTCAGGAATTTGTCCCTTCCTCTTCTCTTTCTCTCTTTTTTTTTTTCATCCTACACACCGTCGTTCCGAAGCTCGATAATATCGACAGTATTCATTGTGAGAATTATCTATCAGGACATACCAGCCTATATATCTTCTCTTAATATCGAGATTTGTTACACTAGGCTCTCGGCCTCCCAACCTCGTTTTAAATCTCCGTTGGAATCCTCTCCCTTCCGCCTGGTTTCATATATCGGATATACTAGAAGTGAGTCACACAGCTGGCAACGCACAATACAATATCTCACGGTAACTAGATATTAACTTGACTGCAGCACAATGGAAGGAGAATTCCGCTTTGAGGACTACATAAGGACCTGGTCACCTTCGCCGCCTCCCCAGGATTCCCAGGTTGGACTACACAACTCATCCGCCAACCCGGACGAAGGCCATCCTACCAGCCAGGCCACCGATCCCCAGCCTCCTACCAGCCAGGCCGCCGATCCCCAGGTTGGACTACACGGCTACTGCGTCGACTCGGCCCAGGGCCTTCCTATTACCCAGGCCACCAATCCCCAGCCTCATATCAGCCAGGCTACCGATCCCCAGCTACCTATCAGCCAGGCTACCAATCCCCAGCCTTCCATCATCCAGGCTACCAATCCGCAGCCTCCTATCAGCCAGGCCACCAATCCCCAGGTTGGACCACACAACTCATCCGCCAACTCGGCCCAGGGTCCTCCTATCACCGCAGTCATCGCAGGTATACACCAAGGGTGGATGGCGAGGTACCGCTCTCACGAATCTGAATTCAGAAGAGCACACAATTCCAGAGAAAGGTGAGCCATCATGCTTTGCCTCCTTTATTATTTACTAGTGTTAAGAACATTAAACTAACACTCCACTTTTCAGAGCCTTCATCTGTGCCTCACGCAGAACGGGCAGGGATATTTCTATTCGGATGCAGTCAGCCAGAAATGCCTCGAAATGCCACTATTTTAATACCGGACGCTGGTTCAAATTCAACGAGGACGACGTCAGAAACTGCAGGGACTTCGATATCACTTTTGAGCTTCCTGCCTACTGGGATGAAGAAATTCAACCGCCCACAACCTGGAACTCGACTTGGCCACCACCGAAGTATGCGACTGATTGGGATATGAAGCCTACGCTTCCTCCGCCCATTCCGCTTGAAGCTTTTCAAAAAATGCAAGTCAATGCGGAGAATGTTGTACTGGCAGTCCGCGGTGGAAACCCCCGTCCCACTGGGCCACCTCCGGGTTATGAATTCGTATAAAGCCCCTACACCACAGCACCCCAACGGCCATTGAACTTTAACCCTTTTTCGCTTTACCCTAAGCCCTCCGTAACTGTTCATTAACTATCGCACACTCTACATCCTATAACTCATGTTTTAGCTAGCTCTTCTGGATGTCTTGGCTCTTTTCTGTGATTGATTCTCTTTTATGGTTTTCTCTTCTCTATATATCTTTTTATTTTATTTTATTCTATTCTATTCTATTCTATTCTATTCTATTCTATTCTATTCTATTCTATTCTATTCTATTCTATTCTATTTTATTTTATTTTATTTTATTTTATTTTATTTTATTTTATTTTATTTCTTTATTTTGAATTACCTTGATTTTTTACCCATTTTTATGTGATTGATTCTCTTCAGGGATTTATTTCTCTTCTCTGTCTTACCTTGGATCGTCTGGATTATTACTTTTTACTTTTTTATTTTTATTTTTATTATTATTATTATTATTATTATTATTATTATTATTATTTT